GGTTTACCGAGTTTGCCTTTTTATAATCATTAAGCACAGAGTCAAATAGTTCATCACCAAACTTTTGCCACTCACTCTTCTCAAATATTGTATTAGGATCTGCAAAAAACCTTTAGCCTTCCTTACAGGCAGTAGACCTGCTAGCTGCTTTAGAGTCTCAGGCTCAATTCCCCGCTTTTATAAAAAGCACTGTAAAAAGTTCAGGGCTCAGTTCCCCGCTTTTATAAAAAGCACTGTAATAAGTTCAGGGCTCAATTCCCCGCTTTTATAAAAAGCACTGTAATAAATCAGGGGCTACCTCTCGGTCCATTTTCATGGCCAGCCTTTTCCGGATCGTCTTCTTCTGGGTCGTCCTGTAACCTCACATGGCCAGCCTTTACCCCAGCGGCGGACTTTTTCGGCTAGTCGCAGCACCCGGGTCCGTCACGCCACCGCAGCAGCATTGCCCGCGCTGCCCGGCCGCTGCCGCCAGCGCCGCTCTCTGGCCGTTCCGGGTCCCCGTCGACCGGGGCCCCGTATCTGCTAGTCGGGGCCCTGTAATCCCTCCCAGGTCCCCGTCAGCCGGGGCCCTTTATCGGGTCCCCGTCCCCTGACGCCCCGCTAGCAGTGTCTGCCGTTTATCGCCCCGTCGACCGGGGCCCTGTAGCCCCGCTAGTCGGGACCCTATATCCTGGGTCCCCGCTAGTCAGAGCCCTATAATCCGGGTCCCCAGCGACCAGGGCCCTGTAATCCGCGTCCCTGTTCGGGCGCCATTTGTAAGCGGCGAGGAGAAGCAGACAGGCCAACCCAATATGGGTGATAAGCAACTTCTAGTTTATTTGTGACGCAGTTCACACATATATAGGAGTGGTATTCAGCACTCCTGCCTTCCCCCACAGCTTCCTGGCCGCTGCCGCCTTGCTTGCACAGCTTGCAGTCCAGAACTCTATGGTTCTACTCTTAGCATTCGTTGCTGGGCAACACCTACACATGGTGAGCACCAGATAAGCCCCACCGACACGCCAACCTGCCCTTTCTTAGCCACCCAAAACTCCATCCCTCCACATGGAAGGGAACCAAGGAAAAGCTAGGCTGGAATGTGGGCATTGGCAGCAGCAGAATGGGAGGAAGCCCTGGGGTGGTGAGGCAGCAGGAGGCCTGTGCGAGAGGACCGCCGCTCCCCGGGGCTGAAGGACTGGGGAGCAGTGGGTCTGGACCCCAGCTGGGCACACTGTCCCCACCACAGTGGGGCGGTCATTGGCATCCATGAGGAATGGCTCAGGGAGATCGAGGGAGCCCAGATGTAAGCGGCGAGGAGAAGCAGACAGGCCAACCCAATATGGGTGATAAGCAACTTCTAGTTTATTTGTGACGCAGTTCACACATATATAGGAGTGGTATTCAGCCACTCCTTCGTGGCATAACAGTATTGGTTAACCCCCACAGCTTCCTCCACATTCTCCTCCCAGGTCCGGTCTCTGTCCACCTGTGGGGGCCACCCCCTGCCTTGCTTGCACAGTCCTCCAGAACTCTATGGTCCTGCTCTTAGAGTCATTCTGCAACACCCAGAGGAAGGGGAGGGGGACAGAAAACAAAAGTGATGCGCAATACAATTGTTCATCCCCTGGGTGTCAAGGAGGCTGCCCAGCAGGATGCCAAGATGAAATTCCTGCAGAGCACCTTCACCCTGTGTGAAGCTGGCAGAGACAGGGGCTTCTCACAATGCCTGAAGGAGTTCTACCACCAATTGCAGGTGGTAGAGACTATCAAGGTGAGGGGACAGCCGGTTGCTGTGGGGAAGGGGGCATGTTGCCAGGCACCAGCACACTGTCAGGACAGGGCACAGGCAGGGACCACCAAGGTGCCTGAGGGGCGGCGGGTGCCAGCGCAGCCCTGGCAGCTGGGATGCTGCCCAGCATCCCCCCCGTGCCAGACACACCTGAAGGCTGAACCCTGCTCCTGCAGCACGGTGCCCACCACGTCCTCGTTCTTCCAGTGCAGGGTGCAGCTGAAGGAGACCAAGTGAAGCAGAGCCGGGACGCTCAGGGCAGGGCTCAGGGCTGCTTCCCAGCATTACACTTACTGGTACTTGCTTGCTTTGTTGAACTACACCTGAGGGGTTGAACAATATTTGTTTGCACTATTATTACTATTTATTTTTATTTCGCTTGTTTTCCTCCACTTCGCCTCTGCTTACAGCAGTGGCAGTTTCCAAGCAAGGCTGCACAAATGTGCTGGAAAAGACCAGGGAGAGAGAGAAACTCGGCTCTGGGTCATCCCTAGTCACAGAATCACAGAATCCTAAGGGTTGGAAGGGACCTCAAAATATCCTCTAGTCCAGCCCTCCTGCAAGAGCAGGATAACCTAGAGTACATCACACAGGAACTTGTCCAGGCGGGCCTTGAATATCTCCAACATAGGAGGCTCCACAACCCCCCTGGGCAACTTGTTCCAGTGCTCTGTCACAAGCTTCTCTGAAAACCCACATCAGGGTAAGGGTTTCTGGGACAAAACATGGTAAAAGACACCCTTAACCCAGCTGACTTTACCAATGATGGGAAGCTGTGCCACAGCTCAGGCAGGCAGCAAGGTGACAATCCCCACCAGCCCCAGCTGGGCACTGCACAGTCCTAAAAAGGGTCGTTTCCCTCCTTTACCCGCTGCTTTTTCCTCTTCCTCTTCTTGGGAGCTGCTCCTGGCTCTGTTCCCTTGCCATGCCGTGGGCTGTCATCAGCAGCCGCAGGCAGGGAGCTGTGGACAAGAGCAAAGGGCCTGAGACCCACTCAACACAGCGCTGTGGCTCCTGCCCTCTCCTCATGCTGCAGTCAGACCCCTCCATCTTCCCTCTTCCTCCCCATGCCAGGAACGCAGCAGCACCCTCAGCCTATGTGTGCCACCAGCCCGAGCCTGTCCCCAGACCCCCAGGAGCTGCTGGAGGCCACAGAGCCCCCAGGCCCGCTCTCACCTCGAGGCAGCGGCCCCGTCCCCGCGCCGCTCCAGGACAGCCACAAAGAAGCCGTGGGTGAGGGTGTCGGCAGCAGAGGCACGGAGGCAGCTCTCTGCCCCCGGGAAGGCATCTTTAGAAAAAGAGATGCAGAGTGTCTAAAACCTGATCTCTTGGCAGTGTGAAAACTGACTTAGGCTTCCCTAATGGGCTGCTGGAGAATTTAAATACTTTAAAGGACCCTTCTGAAAGATTTCTTTCACTGGATAGAACAGTACTTGCCGACTTAGAAAAAAATATTCTGCAAATAGCTTCTTCACAAAAATCTATGTAGCTACTTTAATAAAAATAAATTATTGTCTATTTATGTATTCTAGGTACAGAAAGAAAGAATTCTGTTTGTTACTAATGCAGGAGTTATTTCTGGCCGTAGCAGTGCTTTTTGGAGGCTGAAGGGGGAGCCTGCGCTCGTGAGCTGCTTTCAAAGGCCTCTTGAGCAGGCAGTAGTGGCCTCTGGCCAGTGAGCTTGACAGGCTCTCGTTGGGCCGTAATTCCGCAGCAGGAACTGTTTGCGTGTGCCCCTTTTCTTTTGGGGGCAGTAGAGAACAATTCTGGTAGCTGTCGTTTTCCCTCTGTCTTTCTAAGCTGCTTTCCAATACATGCACAGAGTTCCCAGCCAAGTCCTGCAGCACAGTATATAGTTCTTGACAGTTGTGTTCAGTCTTGTTTCATCTGTGTTAAATAACTGCTTTGAATTGAATTTGTGTATTTCAAAGGACAGGAGAAGAGAGGATAACAACTGGAGAAGGAGATGCTTAAAATACAAAGCACTGTGCAAAGCAGCTGTACCCTGGGGGACTTAAACCAGCAGGAATTTCAGGAGCCTTTAGTATTATGTGCCTATTACCACACTGATGGTAGGTAGCAAGCCAGGAGCTGCAGGCCAGCCGAGGGCTAGATCTCTCTTCTAGGTGAGCACGTGTTGTGTTCATTGTTTGCTGTTTACTCAGGGCACTCGACTGCCTGACAATTGAACGGGGCCCTGGTTTGTACTCTTGACAGGGCCTTTTCCCTTGTACCATTAAGAGGTTGTGAATTTTCTAACATTTTCCCAGGGAATGTTGAAGTCACCTGGAGGAGGAGAGGTTTGACATGTGTCCTGGGTTCAGCAGTAGCAGCCAGTTTTCTCCTTCTTAGTAGCTGGTGCAGTGCTGTGGTTTTGACTTTCGGCCTGAGAGCAGCGCTGATAACACCGATGGTTTTAGTTACTGCTCAGTAATGTTTAATCTGACCAAGGACTTTCTGAGCCTCATGCTCTGCCAGGGAGGAGGGGAAGCCGGGAGGAAGCAGAGACAGGACACCTGACCCAAACTAGGCAAAGAGGTATTCCATACCACAGCACGTCATGCCCAGTATATAAACTGGGGGCAGTTACCCGGGAGGGTGGGATCACTGCTCGGTCGTGCTGGGTATTGGTCGGCAGGTGGTGAGCGGTTGTATTCTCTTCCCTTGTTATTTCCCCTATCATTATTATTATTGGTGGTAGCAGCAGTGGTTTGTGTTATACCTTAGTTACCGGACTGCTCTTATCTCAGACCGTGGGAGTTACACTCTTTTGATTCTCCTCCCCATCCCTCCGGGAGTGGGGGGCGAGGAAGGGGGGGGGAACGAATGAGCGAGCTGCGTGGCTGACTGATCTTAAACCATGATGGTCAGTTTGAGCATTTCATGCCCTCTTTCGTACCTTTCCTTAGGAAGATATGAATCCAGCTTACAAACACTGCCCTAGGTGAGCTTCATCCAGGATTTGGGTGAGCACAGAGGATGCATGACCTCTTGAGAGCCCTTACCATCCTTTGCTGGAGTTTGTGTAGTGCGCCATATTTGATGGACCAGATAGGAGGGAATAGAAGGGGGAAAGCAGCTGATGTGCTATGGCAATAAACTAGCTGACCTGATGGGGATTTTTCCTCCCTTTTTGTTCTTCTCCACTGTTGCTTAAATACATTAGCAGAGAGTCTGAGTTGGAGATGAAGAACAAATAGCTTTCCCCTTCCCTGCCTCCTGTGTTCCATCACATGTTGTGAAGCAGCAGCCTTTGTGTCCAGGATCCTCCAGTGTGCTCATGGTTGGGCACAGTCCCCTATCCACAGGCAGCTGGCACAGGGGATAGATACAGCCTTTGGTAGGAGCACAGCTGTGGTTTCCCTCCTCCTTGTTGTCCTTGGCTACTGTGAAGGAGCTATTGGCAACTTGCATAACTTGCAGCAGCTTTCCTAATAGCTCTGGTGATGTTGTTTTAGAGTAGTCTCCAAGATAACAGGCAGATTTTGTCCAGAGCAGCAGGATCAGCTGGAGATGGATGGAGGGAGTCTCTGCAAACAGAAGCTGCATCACAGCTTGGGACACAAACCAGCATCCTGCATGTTTTCTGCTTTGAGAGAGGAGCCACTTTCATGGGAGAGGGGAGGAAATATCACAGAAAGGGTTTTTTTCCAAACTTTTGAAAACTTCATCTCTGCACTGACTTAGCCACATTGTGCCCTTGTCACTGCTTCCTCAGCAAGATGCTTCCCTGGTCCTCTCTCTCTCATAAGGTGTTTTCAGAGCAACCTTCTGAATTAAGCTGTGCCAGTGTTGGAACAGGGTCCCTGAGCTGGACCCTCCTGGGGGAAAGAAGAGCCCGGGGCAGGTAACCGGGGCATGGCCCTGAGCCCATCCCTTGCTCTCTTAGGGAGTTGTGTGATGGTTGTGTTAGGAAAGGGATTAGTGCTGGAGACTTCTTCCAGCAGCTGGTTTCTTCGTGCTGGGAATCCAGACTAGGGGCTAGATTTACTTGGGATTTAATTATGCATTTAATGGCAAAGCTGCCAAGAGCTGTCAGGTGGTTCTCCTTTTTTGTGTTTTTTTTTTCTTTATTATATTTCTCATGAATCTGAATAATATTTGCAAGAAATACTTCCAGAGTAATTTTATCAAACAACTTCATTATTGCCATAGGAAATTCAATGCAATTTGAATCTGGGACCAGTTCCACTTTGCAGTCTAGCTAGACAATGAGTTTTAGAGGTAGACACTGTGTATCGTGTCCATGGCATGTATGTTGTGATGGTCTACTGAGCCTACTACTGTGACTCTGCCCATACTACCCAAGTGCCTATGCCGATGTCTTGTGTTTGCAGTTAATTAGGTAAGAGTTGATGATAATGAATAAAATCCCCTGTGCTACACTATTAAAAGCGAGGCAGGCAGCGCATGCAGGTGAGCAACACAATGACAGCAGCTGATGTGGATGAGCTACATGAGAGCTGCAGCTATGTCAGCCCCCCCTTATGAAATGAACTTCAGTGTTTATTTTAGCAGTGAGTTGCTCCCCACTCAGCATCCTGAGAGAGCAAATGAAGTGTGCACGTAGCAGGCCTGCGTGGCAATCCTTGAAGCCCATTGTCAGATTGATTACTTGAAGTGCCTTTGAAATCAAGTGCTGTGCAGTCAGCTCTAGATCATCTCACAATCATTTTTCATCTGCCAGTAAGTAAAACCATGGTCAATAATACAACTGGTTGAAAATGGGGAATCTATTCCGTCTTGTAAATCTAAACAGACCCGACCACCGTCTTTTCCCTCTGCCCTGGAGTGCAATGCAGTCCTCATGGCATAAATAACAACTGCACCGATCTAATGGAATTGTACAAGAGCTGCTGTTGTGAATGCTGTAGAAACAAGGCTGGTGATACGTGGAGGAGCTGAGATCAGGAATAGAGCACAGGTTGAACCGACTGCCTTTTCTTTATCTGTCAGGGAAAATAATGCCCCACTATGTTTGTGGAAGCTTCCAGAAGTTTGTGCCTGTTTGCACAGTGCTCAAGTGGCAGGTATCCGCCTCTGGGCTTCTTCTGAGGCTTTTGCTTCCATCCCTTCCCAAGGCAGCTGTGGTGCTTGGTGAGCAATATGCTGGTGGCTAGGAGGTCTGCATGACCTGCGGCAGTCAGCTCTTGAGGGCACCCAGGGCATGCACTCAGTCACCCTTACTGTGGGATGGGACAGTGGCGTGAGATCATGGAATCATACAATCTGGTTTGGGTTGGAAGGGAACTTAAAGCTCATCCAGCTCCAATCCCTGCCACGGGCAGGGACCCCTTCC